CCTAGCTTGATCTTCATCACCATTGGAGGTCAGTTTGAGTTTGGAGAAGTGCCGATCAACGTCCAGGAGCAGGAATCCATCCTTCACAGTATGAATTCCGCGTCTGATTCTGCTTTTGCTTCTTTCTCCATGGAGTAGTTCTCCCATTCATCTGGGTATGGAGAACCCTAGATTTGTATGTTAGGCTTTGATTGTATGAACCCAAGTACTGATTCTATGATTTGATTATATTCAATTGAGGTTTGATTGATTGAATGGCATGAATCCTGATCAAATTCCTGTTGTTTCTACTTTAACCTAGAATGAGAATATCTGCCTAGGTTGATAGAGCATCCTTGATTGAAGGTAGGGAGTTGGTGACTTTAGTCGAGGAGCCAACTCACTATTCTGTACCAGATTTACTCCGGTAGTGGAGGTTTTGTTTGTTAAGGCCTCAATCTGTTTACTCCGGTGGAGGTTAGTCGCCCGCTAGAGACTCAGATTGAGAGGGTCTGAAGACCTTTAGTCGAGACTTCAGGTTGTTTAAGAACCTTCCGCAGTATAACTATCATAGAAAATGAACTTGGCAATTACAATCCGGCTTAAGTGCAGTCTAGGGGGAACCACATCCGGGTGACCTCTCTTAACCTGAATACAACAGTTTACTTGCTTTGTTAGTTTGTTAGTTTAAACTTGCATTAAAGTTTCATTGCTAGATAACAAGAATTCACCGAGTAGTCATCAAATCTAGGACCCGGGTTGGTAATTAAACCTAAACCCGCTATACTACGCTTTAGGAAGTGGTTTCACTTGGCCAATTCCTGGAGTGACAGTAGAAGTGAGTCAAATATGCATTAACTTAAACATCATTCAAATTAAAAGAAAGAAAAGAAAAGAATGAAAAAATAGAAAAGGCCATGGTTGCCTTGTACTCAATCCTTCTTAGAGGATCCTTCATCTTCTTTGGAGCCATATGGGTCTAGGGAAGTAGATCGAGCTAAGGTAGGAGTGATGTCCACCAGTGGGATTTCCATCTTCTCCATGATTTCATGTAGAAATGTCGTGAGATGTTGTATCACCTCCTTCTCCTTCCTTTGGTTCTTGGTAACAACCGTTATCAATGTTTGAGTGTGAAAGGATCCGACTCCATTAGTTTTTGAAGAAACTTGTTGGTGGTTGGGAAGATGTGTCAGAGCTTTTCCTCTTGAAATTTCCTTCTTTACTTCCCTCGCCATCCATGATTAGCTCTCTCTTGCCACATGCCGAGAAGGTTCTCATTGGGAGACCGAGCACCACACCGTCCATTACCAAAGTGTTGGTGTTGGGAAATGGTAGGCCTTGGACTCCCCAAACATCATACTCACTTTGTTATAGCATCTTGATGTGCAACTTCATGGTGTCAAAAGAGATGGGGATTGTCTGAAAATCGATTTAGAAGTTGACATCCCAGAATTCGATTTTGAAATATCGAGCAATGCCACTGATATAGGCTCCTCTATGCAATGCATCTAGGTGATGATCCTTCTCATACCGCTTCAACGTGTAAAGGATGGCAAGACCAATGTGAAGGGGTTGGAGGTTGTGCATATTATAGAGGAAGGTGACCTCTTGGGCTGTCAAGTTGTCCTTGCTTCTGAACTTTTCACCTATAGATTTTGCGATCACTTGGTGGATCAACCTCCATTCTAGCTTCACTTCGCTTGGTTTGCATAGCTTGACGTCCCATTTCCATTTTCCGGACACCTTGACTTCAGTTTCATAAAATCCCTTGAAGCACGAAAAATCCCTATCTCTTGGAGTCCACAAAATCTGTTGGATAGACATCTAATGCTCTTGTGAACTCTCAATTGAGATTTGGTGATGGACTCCTTTGATTCGAAACTCAATGTTGGGATGTAAGTCTGCTTCACCTCTGAAGTCCTTGATGGTGAGTGTGCTAAGAAACTCCAACACCAACACTCTATAGATCTTCTCCTCAATACATAGTAACTTCAACCACTCTAGTTTGTTGATCTTTGACCGCATGGTCTCCTCAATTACAAGCTGAGCAAAAAGATGCACTAGTTCTCACCTAGGGGAATAACTTGGAGCCATTATAGCTTGGTGGTGAACTGCAAAGGGATTGAATCTAGGAATTCATAGGTTATGTGCTACATTGTTACTCTTGGTCTTTGGTGACCCTTTTGTTGTTCTTCATTAAGGTGCTCCAAAGGTGGTGGTTGATGTGGTTGTTGTTCTTACTCTTCCAAAATCACTTCCTTTTGTTGAGGTGGTGAACTGCACATGTATGCTTGTTGGGTTCCCTACACAAGAGAAGAATTGGAAAAGGTACACAAGAACCATTAATCAACTCACATATCTACATTTGAACTTGAAAAATCCTTGACAACCATCTATGAAACCCCACAATCCTTTTGATGCAACCCTAGAGGGGTTGGATTGATCAGAATCACGTAGCTTTCAATTCAAGGTTCGAATAGACTCTAAACCGGGTAGGGAATTTGGATGTGGGAATGGAACTTTCATGCAATCTTTCACAAGGAAGAAGGCTTGATAAGTATATACAAAAGCTAGGCCATGATCAATGTTTCTAATTGATAGATACAAGCAATCAAGCTACTTAGAATCCACTAAGCAACTCGCCCAGTTCACGAAGCAAAAGCTCAATGAACCAAAACTCGAAGGTTTGTATTCAATCAGCATAATCTACCTTACAATGCAATAGAAAAGACTTTAAGGGGTCGTTTGGATTAGTGAATGTGATGAGGGATTTATGAGTGATTTTAAAACAATCTCTCGTTGTGCAGGATTTTAAAACAATTCTGCGTTTGGAAAGGTGAGAGATTGTGGGCATGAGGAAATTCTAAATCTCTCATATGAGAGTTTTTAAAATAGCTGATGGAGATCAGCTATTTCACAATCACTCATTTTTTCACATTCTTTTCCAAACTCTGCCCCTCTTTTTGTTCTTCCTTTCTTATTCTTTCTTAGGGATTAGGGATGGGTATAATTGTAACTTTAATTTTTAATTAAAATCCTTCATCTATTCCCAAACATGTTATTTGGATCAAATTTCACGTTTAAAATACCTGGGTTTTTAATTGAGAGATTTTAATCCAAATCCCTCATTTACACATTCCCTAATCCAAACGACCCCTAAATATAACTAGCTAGGCTATCCAACTACAAAAGACGTCCTAAGTACAATGGACCTCAGAAATCAAACACAAAACGAAAAAGAGTAGAAATCCTAATTTGATAAGGAAATAGACTTCTTTGTGAGGCAAGACTCCATTGTAGCTCCATACGATCTTGCACACATTCATTCGAAGCTTTAGAGGTATGCCCTTGATCATCCAATTCCTTTAGGTTGCTATAAAAATGTTGTACTTCCACGTACCAAGTCCCTTTTGCTTCGACGTTCCTCCTCCAGGTCGAGTAAGCTCTCAAAGTATAGGGTACCCAAACACGGTTCCATACTTAGCCAGATTTGGGCAGTTTCTCTGTGACTCCATAGAAACTTGTACGACCTTGCTAATGACCTTAGGGACTTGTCCTTTGGCCAACAAACCTTGAACCATGTAGCTTAACTCTTGTTCTTCAATGGCTAACCTTCCAGTTGCATTTTCACTAATCTAATTGTGAGATATAAATCCCCAAAGTACGCATCATGACATAAGTTTGGCAGTTAGCCAAATTTTGCCTCTTTGCTTGCTAATTTGGATAGCTTCTATAGCAAGTAATAAAAACTCATGTGCTTGGATACTTTATAACATATCACCTTGAAACTTTAAACTTCAAGGGAGTTTTATTGATTCATCCCCATAATCCTTAAGAGTATAGATTGCTCTTCCTTTAAACATTCAGTAGTGCGACGGAGTGGCGTTAATGAACTAACTCTTAAACTTTTCCCCTAATTTAGTTAGTGGTGAAATACCTCTAAACTTGATCTTTAGAGATCATACATACTTCAACTATAACATCAACATAAAAGCTTAAAAGAAAGGTTGAAAGCTCAATAATCAAATATCCCAAACAATAACTCAATAGAATTTTGCCCACCTTTTCCAAGACTTAAATTGTCTCAATTTATTTAATAATTTTCTAATATACCTCCTAAAATTATGGTAAATTACCAAAATTCATTTTCCAATTAAAATCCTCTCAAAATTATTATCCATAAATTACAACTTAATTAACTCCTTCTTCCTATTTAATTTTAAGATTACCTAATTTTTAAACCTATGTTACAGATGTCTCAATTTCTGGTTCTTATATTTTTAACTTACACCCAAAATTATAGTTCCAAAATTAATTATATTTTTAATTGATTAACAACACCATTCTACTAATTTTTATAATTAAAAATATAACTCCATAAATTCTCAAATTCATTTTTAAACATTCCAAAAAAAATTCTCCAATCTATAAAATTATCAAACCATGAAAATAAGTGTTATACAGAAACGAAAAATAATAATAAGCTAGAGAAATATGATTTTCGACCCATTGTCAATTTTCTAAAACGTTGTGGACTAAGCTGCTCGTACTGGAAACATGGGGGACGAATCTTGAAATTTTCTCGTGTATTGTAACCAAATTAACGATAATGTCCTTATACTAGAATTGACACTTGAACAATCTGATTCATGCTCCAAATTTCAGGGCTCGGTTCTCCCTCGTCCGATGTTAAAATTTGATTTCGTCGAGACCTGTATGCTCCTGGAATTTTCCTCTTTGCAGTAGTACCCCACCCCCACTAAAATAATGGTCGAGGTTGACTAGGACAGTGCCGCAGATGGAGCTCGATCATCACAACATTCGTCAAGTTAATTGAGGCATAAAAACGAGCTTAGTGACAGAGGGGATCAAGAACCTTACCACCTCAATGCCAGGGGAAGACGCTGTAGTTGACGATGGTGGCTTTGAGATTGGGCTCCCGATACAGGTATCGCCGGCTGTTTGTCGGGGTTGGCTGAGCCTGTTGCCGCTTGGGAGACAAAGGAAGGGACAAGTAGCTTATGTCGCTCCGCTACTGCTGCTTCTTAATCGCCTCACTGGAAACGGGAGACTTAGGTGATGCAAGTTTAGGGAATGGGGGAGATTGTCTTCTTTGCTTCTCAAATCCCTCTCTCAATTACGTCGGGACGAGCGGGCGGAGGAGCACGGGAAGTGGGCGGAGGAGCACGGGAAGCGAGCCGTGGGGGGATTCTTGCCACAACGCGGTAATCGAGTGGGGAACGAGAAATTCCTCGCTCTCGGCACACCCAAGGCGCGAGGTCCCATCCGAGGCAGCGGCAGCTTCCTGGGAGGTCGAGGCTATGGGAGGAACGAAAATGATTTGGTGGAAAAGGAAGGTGATGACGGATGGGAGGTGACCGAGCCTGGACGACGCCACGGTGTCTATGGCTGCGCAAAGTACCAGGGCGAAGGAGATTACTACAAGAACGGTGGCGAAGAGATCATGTTCCGGACCAAACTACCCGTAATTGAGTTCGAGAGGTTTTCATGATTGGAGGATGCAGGCGCGTGGCTATCACGAGTTGACCGTTGGTTTCGACACCAAGGAACCAGGGAGAAACAGAAGGCTCATCTGGAAGCCTTCTATCTCGACGAGGGCGCACAACAATGGTGGGAGTGGATGGAGCGAGCTTATGCCACAGCTGGGCAGGAGATCACTTGGGAGCGGTTCAAGGAGGAATTCGGCATACGATTCAACGTGACGGATGGGTCGGCTTCTGAACAGTTGGTCAAGCTTAAGCAGACGGGCACTGTAAGTGAGTTTCAATTCGAATTTGAGCGTTTGGGTAACCTTTGCTATGGTATTCCAAAGGACACACTAGTCGGGATTTGTTTTGCGGGTTTGAGGGCAGAGATCGCCGCGACAGACAAGGTGTTCGAGTCAGACTCGCTTCGAACCACTTTTCGAATAGCAAAGTGAAAGGAAGAAGAGTTGGTCGGGCAGAAGGCGAGTGACAGGTCATTTAAATCCGGAGGTGGAGGGAGTGGTGCCGGCGGCGAAGGTGGATCAGCCATGATGAATAGCGGCGGTGGCGCTGGGGCTGTTGGGATCGCGGTAACCGAGACCAGCGGAACTAGTTCGGCGGGCGGAGTAGGAGCGGCCGGGACAGGAGGTGGTGGGCCAACCAGGCGGACCAAACCTCGACTCACTCAAGGAGGGTTTGTTCGGTTAACTCCGACCGAGATGGACAAGAAACGGCGCGATGGCAAATGCTATAACTGCGACGAAAGGTTCACCATAGGCCACCGTTGCGCTAATGCCAATTTGATGCTACTTGTGGGAACCTTGAGGATGAAGTCGACGAAGCGAAAGCGGAGGCGAGCAAGGCTAACGGCGAAATGCAACCTTGAGGGTAAGGTCGCTCTGAAGCGGTGGAGATTGTTGCAGGATTATTTTCAGTATTTTTCAATTCTTGCACTTTTCTCGATTTATGGATGTTTTCGATAATTAGTGATATTGAGAGGATTTGATTAAGGGATTTGGGGAGAATAATTATGGGTATAAATCCGGGTAGTTATAAAAGGAATTTCATTATATTTAGGGAGTGGTTGTTGGGAGAGATCATTAAGCATAATCACAATATTTTGTTGCAATCCCCTCCTCATTTCTTCTCTCTCTATCGAGTTCCATTCCCCAAACCCAATTCTTCATCTTTCCCATACTTCACACGTACATAACCCTTCTTCCTTCTCCAAAACCTCATTTCTTCCTTTAAACACCAAATCATCTCCCTTCCCTTGCACGTAGCCTACGCTCATACCCCTCCCAAGATCCACGCCTGCAATACTCAAGTGACGAGAGCTCTAAGACTCAAGGATGACTCACAACAGTTTAGACACGAAGAAAGAAAAGGGTCGCTCTATAAATATCAATTAAGCTCAAGTAGCAAAAGCTCCTACTCAAAGGGGTTGATTAGGGGATAAAATGTCTCGGGACAATCAACTTTTTGGGCGTGGACTAATCCTATGCTTCCATCATACTCGCTAATGACAACGTGAATGTTACTCACCATAGTAAGAGGGATCTATCACACATTAAAAAGACTATCGACACAAATCTCAGATGGCTACCTAATCGCTCAATGATGACTTGATATATACACATGTTTTATCCACCATTCTTATGCCGTCTGAGCCTCATTTATCGTTTCTTAGGCCGATTTCACGCTAGGTTGTTCTCGTTTGTGTTATTTTAGGTCCTAGTACGTGAGTGGAGGTTTGGGAACGAGTTCGGGGTTAATTGGATGAAAGTTGGACGTTTGGCGAGAAGCTGAGGAATCCACACGGCCAGACCTAGCAGCCACACGGCCATGTGGCGTGGCCGTTTGGAATCCCATTACGCGGGCAAGTCCACACTGGCCGTGTATTGGGTCACTTGAGGCCGTGTGGAAATTCCAGGGAGCTCACACGGGCAAGCCAGTTTTCTACACGGCCGTGCAGCTCTGGCCGTGTAGCATTCGTGGAGACACTTAATTGAAACGTTGTGTTTTGGCACTCACACGGGCAGACTGGGAAACCACACGGCCGTGTGGCCTGGCCGTGTGGTCGGGAAATTATGGGTATTAACCCAATTTCGATCCTAAGGAAAGGGAATCGATTTTCCAGAGCAAAAATAGAGCCCTAGAGAGAGAAAGTGCGAAGAACACCCCCTAAGAGTGATTTTGGAGCTGGGTTTCATCAATCAACCTTGGAAATCATCCTTGGAGTGAAGATCATCATCCCAAAGCAGATTCTTCCCATCTTGATGAGTATGACTGCTTTGTTTGATGTTTCCCTCTCTCTCTCTCTCTCTCTCTCTCTCTATGGAGTAGAACCCTCTCTCACTTGGGTATGAAGAACCCTAGTTTTATGTGTTAGGGATCATTGTTGTAACAACGTTTGGATTGTGATATTGTTTGATAATAATCGATTGAATTGTTTTGATTGAGTCAATCGAAGCCTGATCATCTTATATTGATTTCTGATGCAACCTGAGATAGATAGAATCTGATTAGGTTGTTAGAGCTTCTTCAATCGTTAGTAGTGAATAGATTATACGAGAGTTAGTCGATTTACTACTTTGTACTAGAATTCAATTCCAGTAGTGGAGTTCTGTGTTCATGTGTGGGGGTGTGATTGACCGTTTCTATGGCTCTTTTGGCTCCACTTGGGTTTGCTTTCTTGTAGGACCATGTCGAAACCCGACCTCAAGCATCAGTTCATCCGCGATTTGAAGAGGGGCCCCCACAAGGATCGCTTTAAGTGCGTCCTGCCCTCTATGTTTTGGGAAGCATCACTATTGGTCCAGGAGGGAGTTTGAGAACCTGAATTGTTACGACCACTTCTTTGCCATTGTCACCAACCGCACATGGCGCCGTCTGTTGTCTATTCGCGAGAAGGTCTACCACGAGCTGGTGCTCGAGTTCTATACGACCTTTCGGCACGAAGAGACAACCGACTAGGCGGATGGCGAAGCCGTCAAATTCAGGCTCGGCGGTGAGCCCCGGTCCATGATTTGGCGGTCGCTCTCGACCTCGGCCTGGACGATGACGAGGACTATGTCAGCGAGCTCACTAATCCAGAAGGTGTTAATTTCAAGGTGTTGTACACCTGGCTAGCTCAGCCCGGTCAGCCTCCCTTCCATGCAGGGAGGACGAAGGCTAGCACCTTGCAGCTCGATAACCGTATACTCCACCACTTGCTAGCAAAGTCCTTCACCCCAACTGGGGACAGTGCCAGCACCCTCACCAGGCGGTCCATATACTTCATCCAGTCCATCCGCACGGAGAACCATAATCTCCACCTGGGTTCTGTGGTGACCAGGACTCTGGACAAGAGTGATGTTCAATTGGGGACCCTCCACTGCACCCCCCTCATCACCCGCCTGGCCACCTATTTCCATATCCCACTTCAGGATTGCACAGACCAGGGGGACACTTGTGTCTTCGGCAAAGACACGATCTCGAAGATGCACCTACTGCGAGTCGAGAGCGGCGTCAAGTGGATTGAGGGGTTTCCTGCTCCACCACTCCCTGCGGAGGATCAGCCCGCAGTTCCTAAGGATGATGCCACTAAGGATGTCCACCCCGATGATGTGGACATTGTTGCCGCCCCTCGCCAGACCACCTTTGAGTACGAGGGTGGCAGCTCCACTTTTCCATCCCATGACTACTTCACTCACCAGTTCCAGTAGCTAAGTCTCCAGAATCAGCAACTCCTCGACCATCATCTCCAGTTCGAGCAGCAGTACTCGACTCACCAGGCCGAGTATAATACCTGAATGGCTGCATATGATGAGCGCCTCGACCGAATGGAGGCCCAACAGGGGGTGATCCTTGCTCACATCGAGAGGGAGCAGGGCCGGTCTAGGCGTATGCAGGAGGTCCAGCAGCACCTCCTCCAGCTGATACCGGGCGAGTAGCCAGTCTGGAGGACTCCCTGGGAGGACTCTCCACTTCAACCCCCGCCAACCGGTGATGATGCCTTCATGGACGACATCGAACTAGACAACCTTGACGACGAGTAGTCTGTACTCGTTTCCCCTTCGAGTGTGTTTTTGTTTTGGACTTTTCTTGTTTGCTCCATGTGTGTGCGGAGCTTGAACTAAGTCTTTCGTGTGTTTTTTTTCTTTTTCTTTCTTTTGTGAATTGTCTTCTTTGTGTCCATCTGGGCTAACTCTGATCCCTAACGCACAGTGTGCTAGTGTGTTCTTTATGTTCCCTTTGCGCAAAATTGTTCAGTCGTTCCATCTGTTTTCCGCTGACTGATCCACTTCCAGTCTCCCGGCATTCTTTCCACCCGGTAACATCGTTCCCCTTATCTTTCCCGCTCCTCCATTGAGGGCAATGTCGAACTTAAGTGTGGGGGGTGCTTTGTATTGGTTGGAATCTATATATGTGTGCCGGAGCCTAGTCCGCTGTCCAAATCTCGAGATTTGAGGGCTCCAAGTACTGAGGTTTGCATGATCATGTTGGCATTGTGGATTTGATTGGTGAATCAAATGGCTTTCGAATTAATGCATGGCAACTTGATTGTAACTAGGACAAGCTATGATGATGTCTGAGACGTGCAGTAGAATTGTGTAGGGGTTCAGTTTTTTCAACTGTTTGCTTACCAACTGTGACTTGGATTGATCACTTGCTCTTGAAAGTCGTTTATGCATCTAGTTCAGGGAATCAGAATGAGAGATAGAGCATATAGGTAGCCATGTGAGATTTGAGCCTGGTCGTTTCTTTCTTGTGCGATAGATCCCTCTTCCATGATGTGTAGCATTCACGTTGTCACTAGCTGAGATGATGGATGCATAGGATTAGCCCACGACCAAATTGACTGTCCTGGTGTGTCATACCCCCTAGTCAGCCCCTTTGAGCCATGTACT